TTGCGTAAATCCTGACACAATCTGAGAGAGCTGGCATGAGGATGCCCCCAAGCTGCTGTAGATGTCCTCTGAGGAGTGTAATTTTATCCTGAGCCCCCTTCCAGAAGGATGGCTTGTTTCCTGCGGGGGAGGGGGGGATTAATTCTTCCATTGAGGTGATTGCAGTTGGGCTATAATGGTGGCATTATTACTGCTTGATTCATTTTAAATCAAGTTGTGGTTCCCCAGCCTCCCTCCATCTACCCCTGACCCCCTCCCTGCAGAGAAGGCAGTTGGCAAAGGAGAAGCAGCAGGTGGATGGCTGGCTCAGGCGGTAGCGTGGAACAGGGTTCTGGGCTATCTGGGCAAGCCAGAGGAAAGTGGGCAGTGCTCAGGTGTGGCCAGGCCTCCCCACCCTTACCCAGTGGCCATCCACCAGCCTCCAGGCTATCTTTGTTCACACTCAGACACCAGCTCGGCAGATCAACTTTTCTTCCTCAAGTTCCATTAAATTTCTCCTAAATTCTCTTATTTGTAGTATCTCTTTCAGAAATATTTTGAAAGCCCAAGCCATATTAGAAGAGATAATTTGGTTAGAATTGTCTTGAAGTTCTCCTTTAGCTTCTCAATTAATTTTACCCAAAAGTTTTTTCTTTTTAAATCAGCTTGTCTTATATGCTTATTTTAAAAAAGAAATAATTACCTGCAGAATCTGAAGAGAAACCACATAAATTTATTTATTTATTTAGCAATATATATATATTTATATATATATATATAAATACAAGTTTTATAAATATCTACAGTGTAATTTCATCACATATTGCTCAGATCCAAGTTTACATTAATCTACATACTTTTCATCTCCTTATTTTGTTTGGGTTCCTTGAAGAACATAAATATCTACCTTTCTGATTTTAACAATCATTCATTTTTATCATTTTGTTTAGATGAATTAAGTTCTTTCATATTGGAGTTCTGAACTTCCCTGAATAGGGATGTTGGTTTTTCAGCTTTTTTATGTCCATTCATTTATCATAAAAAACATTCAACTTAAGAGGAACATCCCAAGTATACTTGACATTGTAACGGAATTGCTTTCTCTGAGAAAGTTTTTTCAAATAATATGAAAAGTGTATTTATAGTGGTCTAGGTGCCAGTTCTACTTCTAAGGTTTTGTTAAAATGTTAATTTCCTTTTCTCAAATCTGGAAGCCCTAGGAGGATCTTCTGATGCTAGCAGCCATCCAAGGCCCAAGGGAGGAAGGAGCAAGGGAAGGAGCATAAGGGAGGGGTGTGGGCAGGAAGGGCAGCCCAGAGGGCGGACCCTCTCTTGGCCAGCCTGTGGAGTCGTCCTTCCTGCAGATTTGCCTGCTCCCCCAGGTTAGGGTCGGCCATGAGCTTTCCTCATCTCCTGTGACAGCATGTGAGCCAGGCTGGAGCTGTGGAACCCCACCTTGGGCTCCTTTCTGGCAATTCCTGGTCCCTGAACCCCACAGGGTGTCACAGCTCCTCCTCAGCCCCAGATCTAAATACCATGAATTGGGAGATGATTTACATCAGTGTAAAACCAGGAGCAGAAAGACAGACGAGGTATAATGCACTAACCGCAGCCTGAAGAGAGAAAGGGGATAGGGAAGCCAGTGCAGATGGAGAGGCTCATCGGTGAGAAGACCGTGGGCATCTCACTGGCTCCCCGAGACCCCTTGTGCCTTCTGACTGGTACAAAACAGCTTTCCCGGGGACAAAATCTGCCATTTGTGAAACTAACATTTGTGGCTGTTTTGCTGAATTCTGTCTCAGTATGTTTCTTCTTTTTTTTGCTTTTTAGATTTTCAATTTGATGAAATTTGACAGCTATACACGTTTTCTGAAGTCTCCATTTTACCAAGAATGTGTTTTAGCAGAAGTTGAAGGTCGTCCAGTCCCTGATCCACAGTGTGTCACAAGTAGCCCTACTTCGAAGTCCAGTTTTGGTCCTGACATGTTCAGTGTTTCCACTCCAAGAAAGGTTTCTGTCCTTTACAATGTACAGTTGAAATAGATACAGCTAAAACATTCTTGCTTGTTTATCACCTAAATAAATGGAAAAATACAATACTTTTCATAGGGAGCCACAAATTGGTATGCTTTGCTCTCATCCTTCACACATAAGAGATTGGAAGTATCCAGTTTGCAAATAAACTAAAATTTCCAGACTTAGAGCAACTGAGAATCAAGTGTGTGTGTGAGAGAGAGAGAATAAAAAAATAAAACAATACTGGTACGGCTATCATGGGAATGGTGGTTCAGTTAAAGCAGAAATGCTTGTTTCTGGTCTCCTTTACTGCATTCAAGACTGGGAGGTTACATCAGCACATTTTCCATCCAGAACTGGATGAAACGTCATCCGCATTACGAGGCATTCATGTCAGGGACCGTCAGGGAAGGGGTGCTTTGCCGGATCAGTTCAGTGGCTCACGAGGAGCCTCCCAGAGTCTCAGTGCAGGACTCCAGATTCAAGCACCCTAGGCGAGGGCTCCAGCCTCTGCTTGCACACATGCAGGAAAGGGGAGACCAGCACCGCTCTGGGTCACTGGGGCCACGCGATCTTCCTAAAAGAAAGAAGACACGTTACGAGCAGAAAAGAAACAAAAATCATAGCATTCAAGCGGATTGAATTTGAATGCCTACTGCTAATATCAGGGTGACGCTTCCAAGAGATACGTTTTCTTTGGGACCTCTTTGAGGGTAGATCCCCATCCTCCTCCTGTAGGGAAGACTCTAGAAAACACTTTCAGAACTTCTGACAGGCAGAGAGAGAGAGATTTGGCAACTGAATGCCCTGCACATTTTTGGCATTTGAATGAGAGGGGCCACTTTAGTAATTAAGTCCAGAATTCTAAACAGCCCCTTTTCTGGGAGACATCTGGCCCTTCTGAATCCTTGTGAAAGTTTAGAAAGCATTTTAATGCGGAGCATCTGTTTTTTAACTAAAAAGAAAAGGAGAATTTGGAGTATGCATACTTGAGTCCTTTTCCTACGGTGTGTGAATCCCCAGATTGGTTTGTAAAGGAATTGTACCTGCTTTTTAGCAAATATTGGGAAAGTGGTTAGTTCATTCAAAGTAAAAAATAATACCAGTAAAAATGCATTAGCTAAGATATTTATTTGTACGTACTAGTAGTCAGTGAAGTGGACAGCTGCTTGCTTATCAAGAAGGCAATAGAGATGTGTCCTGTGATTTTTGCTTGGTTGCACGGGCCTGCTCTGTATGACAGGGCACACTTGTAGGAGTGAAAGCTTATTGGGAATAAGATGATTAGCAGTCAGCTGTATCAGAAAATTTAAGTGCTACTCTGATTAAATAAACAATACCTGTCAAACTAATTTTTAAAATTATACTTGTTAATAGTTAGGTGGAAAAGCCAAGTCTGGGCGTTCCTTAAATGAAGAATCTGGAGAGGAAGATGCTGAGAAAAAGAAAAAAGGGGCTTTTTTTTCCTGGTCCAGAAGCAAGAGTTTGGGGAGATCACAGAAGAAAAAGGAGAATGGTGACTGTCTCAAAGGTGAGCTTTAAAATCCAAATATGAGGTGGGGGAGGGGAGGAGGGAGGGGGGGAGGGAAGGGCGTTCTGGGA